CAGGGCGCGGAGCTCAACGCCCTGGTGATGCGCTCGGCGGCCAGGACGGTCTGGACGAACGACGGCACCACGGCGCGCCTGCTGATCCAGTCCTCTCCTCTGGCTCGGAGGCACCTGCGCATCCAAGATGGCAAGGTGCTGGCGAGCGACACCCTGGTTTTCGGGGAAGTCGTGCGTGCCACCACGGAGCGTATGCTGGATGAGCGGCGTCAGGACGCTGCGAGACGTGCCCGCCGCGCCTTTGCGACGGCGCAGGCTCAGGAGGGTGAGTACTGGAAGCGGAAGCAGGGCAGTATAGTGAAGAAGGCCCAGCTGTGGCTCCGCAAGCTGCCCGTTTGGCAGCTGAGCGGCGTCAAGGTGTGTGCGACGGAAGAGCTCCCTGCCCCGCCTGTGACGGGGAGCGTCTCCGAGCGGCCTTCTGATGTCACGGTGAAGAACGCCGACGCTATGCTGGCCGCGGTGCGCGAGTACTGGGGCCCCATCTTCAGGAAGAAAGATATCGACGAGGAGGCGGCGAGGGAGTACATCGAGCGTTGGTTCGCGCCCGCCAGTGCACGCGAGGACTTTGCCTTCCGCGAGGAGGATCTACTGCGTGCAGCTCAGCGTGGACGTGAGGTGGCCCCTGGACCTGACAGGCTGCCCTACGTCGCCTGGGCGAGGTCGCCTGCAGCGGTGGCCTGGCTGTACCGGCTGTGCCAGGAGGCGCTTGCGGGGCTGGGCTTCCCCGACGACTTCAACCACGGGCTGCTGGTCCTGATCCCGAAGAGTGGGGAGGCGTTCAGCGCGTCGGAGGTGGTGCGTCGGCCTGGTGCGCTAAGGCCGCTCATGCTGCTCAACACGGACAGGAAGATGATCGCGACCGTGGTCAACCATGAACTAGCTGGAGTGGCGAGGAAGGAGGCATCGGCGGTCCAGCATGGGTTCGTCCGTGGCAGGACGTTCATTCCGAACATCATCAAGCTGGACCTGATGGCGCGCACATTCAGTGCGCTCAGTGAGACGAAGGGAGGGCACCCCGCGCTGATCACGTTCGACGTGAAGGCGGCGTTCCCCAGCGTCAGCCGTCTCTGGATGGCGCTGGTCCTGGACAAGTGCGGCCTCTGCGACTCCGTGAGGACCCTGATCGGCGCCATGTACGACAAGCAGATGGCATGGCTGCGGGTAGGCGAGGACTTGATGGAGGCCTTCGCGGTCACGGCAGGTGTGGCGCAAGGCTGTCCGATGTCGGGCTCGCTCTGGGCGTTGCTCTTCTCGCCCTTCCTAGAGCACATGGCCTCCGTCCTGGACATGCCTGGGCGGCGGGAGCCCTGGAAGCCAGAGCTGCCCATAGTGCAACGCAAGGGCGACGTGGAGGGCTGCGCGGATGACGTGGGGATGGTGCTCCGCGACCTGGCCCTGCTGCCGCGGATCGGCCCGATCTTCATGGCGATGCAGGTGCTGGCGTGCCTGGAGCTCAATCTGTCCAAATGCTTCCTGGTGCCGTTGTGGGCGCCGATTACGGAGGAGATCGTGGTCTACGTGAAGAGCATGCTCGAGGCGAGCATCGCGGGCTGGTCAGACTTCTCGGTCGCCTCCATGACGAAGTACTTGGGCTGCTGGCTGGGGCCTGGCGCTGACCTCGCAAGACAGCGGCACGACCCTGCGGCCAAGTATGCGGCGAGGACGAGGGCGCTGGGTGCCAGTGCCCTTTCCAACGATGCAGTGGTCCAGGCGTACAACGGGCTAGCGATCCCGCGCCTGCTCTATGTCGCCATGCTCTTCCCGATCCCCGACGGGCTCGTGGACAAGGAGCTGGACTTGCTACACGTGCTGCTGCGCGTGCCACCGAAGTCGTTCAGGAAGGACTGCCTCCTGGCGCTGGGCTCCTCCCTGGACGTCACGGCGCCGCTCTCCCTCTTCGCCTCGGCGATGGCTGCGAGGATGAGGGCGGCGATCAAGCTGCCGACGGAGTGGCTCGCCCTCCTCGAGGGCGTCGAGGACTTCTTCACTGACGTGCGGGGCGAGGCGCTGTGCAGGCTTGCGGACCTGCCGACTGACCTCTTCGCGCCGGTGTGGTGGCAGGACCGCCGTGGGCCTGCGCGTCACCTCAGGGGCGCCCTGGGATGCTGTGCGCCGACCTGCAGACCCAGGAACCGACGTCGGACGGAGGCCTGCCTGCGCGCCGCGAAGAGGCGCTCGCTGGCAGTGGAGGCTGCGTGGCTGGCGCAGCCCCATCGTGAGAGGAAGAAAAAGCGTTTTTCCTTCCAGTCCACCTACCGCTCCATCCTTTCGTCTCTCCTCTATCTTGATTCCTTTCCTGTCACATTCAGGAAAAGGTTGGCTGCGTGGCAGGTGCGAGCGCCCGCCACACGTGTGTTGGCGCAGAGATGGGAGGCGCTTAAGAGCGTCCTTCGTAATAAAGGGAGGGGGGTGAGGTGGGCGGTGATCAAAGTAATGTGAGGAGCATGGCCCACAGCGGCCAGAATGCATGTCACGAATGTCCGTTCGGCCCCTTGTAAATTCGGCTGTGAGAATGGATCTGACAATATGTCCCACTATTTGAGGTGTCGGCACCTGTGGTGGGCCGCCTGTTTTCCTCGGGAATTTTGTTCCAACTCTGTATTAATGAAGCTTTGTCTTGGGTCCTCTCGGGACCACGCCTCGACCCCCGATGACTCGCTCGATCGGTCGGTCTTGAGGCTTAGCCTGACGCACCAGCTGCACGCTATCATATCTGCGCATCCTGGTTCTGGGCCACAGCACTTACTTCGTTGCCTTGATATTGCACGTGCACGCACGGGTAGGTAGGCGACTCTTCCTCTGGAGCGACGTTCGCTCCTCCTCCTCCTTCGCCCTCTCCGTCTCCTCTGCGCGGGAGAAATCCAACAACATCTCACGCAAATCAACGAACTGTGGCCATCCCGGCCTTTTTGAAGGTCCTTTTAGGGCCCGTTTGGGGCCGTCCTGGGGCCCTCTTGGGCGTCCTAGAAACCTGGAAATCATGTTCCCGGAGAGGCTTCCGGGAACATGATTTCGAACGAGGCCCTCTTGGGCCTTCCTGAGGCCGTCTTGGGCCTCCTGGGCCGGCTTTGGGGCCTCTTGGGCCGTCTTGGGGGTTCCGTGAGCCTCACAGGACGACCCGTTTGGGCCGTCGTGGGCCCTCTTGGGTCTCTCTTGGGCTCTTGGGGCTCGGGGGCGTCTGGGGCACTGTGAGGACCAAGCAAGCGAGTATGCTGAATATGTATGCTTTTCGAATGGAAATAGGCCGGTGTTTGCCTCTTGAAGACCCTCTTGGGGCCCTCTTCGGCCATCTTCAAGCCATCTCGGGCCCTGTTGGGGCGCTCTTGAGCGTCTTGGGGCCCTCTTGGGCCTCGCTGAGGCTGTCTTGTGGGCCTCTTGGGCTGTCTTTGGGGCTTCATGGGCCGTCTTGGGCGGGTTCGTGGACCCCACAGGACGCCCGGGGCGGCCATGCCAACCGGTGGCACCACCCCACCCCCGCCCCCGGGCCCCGTCCGTCTGTCCTACTGCTCCTCTCCAAACCCTCGTTCCCTAACCTCCCGATCATGTTCCCGGACCCCCGTCCCTTCCCCCCAGAGCACTGCAGCAGTAGGAAAGCGTTCCGAAACGGTGAGAAATCATGTTCCCGGAAAGCGTTCAAGAATATGAATCGTACGTCGTCCAAGGCGCCTAAGGCGCAGAATACTCCTCCAAGGCGCGGAATCATGTTCCCGGACCGCCTTCTGGGAACATGATGGGGACGACCTCCTGAGGGCCTCCAGTGGGCCTCTTTGGGGCCTCTCGGAGGCCTGTGGGGCTCTCCTGGAGGCGTCTTGGGGCGCGTCAGGGCCATTTTTGGGCATCTTGGGGGCCTCTGGGGGCCTTCGGGGAGGCTCTTGGGGGCCTCTTTCGGGCCTCTTGGAGCCTCGCGGAGCCCTCTTGGGGACCGCTGGGCTCGCTTAGGCAGTCTTGAAGCCCTGTCGGGGCACTCCTGGAACCGTCTTGGGCGGCTCCTGGGCCATCTTGGGGCTCTCCTGGGCCGTCTTGGGACGATTTTGGGGGTCTCTTGGGCCGTCTTGGGCCGGTCTTGGGGGCCTCTTCGGCCGTCTTGGAGCGGGTTTGGGAGACTCTTCGACGGCCTTGGAGCTTCGGAACCCCGAAAAAGCGAGAAGGCCAAAAACTTAGAAAAAAAACAATAAAAATCAACGATGTTGGCTTGTCGGGGCTCTCTTGGGAGGCCTCTTGGGATGCCGTCGGGGCCTCATGGAGCTCTCTTGGAACGTCTTCGGGCCTTCCTGGCCATTCCTGCGGCTATGTATGCGCGTCTTGGAGCGCTCGCGGGCCGTCTTGGGCGGTCTCGAACTGTTCCTGGCGGTCCCAGGGGCCCTCCGGGACGCTTCGGACGATCCCGGGGGCGCCCTGCACCCCCCATGGAGATGACAGGCACCGCCCCGGGGCCCTACTCCGATACATATATATATATATACACACCAGGCGTGGCCATGCTCGCACTCATGCAAGTATACTCGCTCGCACGCTGACTCATTCACAGTCAGACTCACTCGCGCTCAGACTCACCCGCGCTCAGTCTCTCGTAATTCGACCTATCGGCTTCGTTCGTGTTGTGTACCACGCCACGCACTTCGGCGCACCCCTCATACGGTTCGTGGCCACATAGGGAGCGCCACCGAAGAGGATATTCACAATTGTGGTGCTCACAACTGCATGTGGTTGTGTCCTTCGCCAGGCTAATTTTGTTCTGAACCTCCAGATGGTGCTTGAACATCACGGTCAATGGGGCAACAATGGTTGGGATCGGGGCCATGGAGGTCTAGGGCAGGTGCGCGGCAGTGTTTTGTGTTGATCTCACCTTTGGGGGAACTCTGGCTCTTGATCTCTATCGATAACCCGCCCACGTCAAACACATAGCGAAATGTTTGAAGACACCCACAAGCATTGATACCAGACCTTCCAGATCCTTCCAAATGGGGGGCGGGGTCCAACGCTAAAGCAGACTCCCTCAGCACCACCATGGACGTCAAGTCAGAGAGCAAATAGCGCTGGCTTCGCTGGGGAGCCGTGGCGGCGAAGCAGCAGCCGCCGCAACAGCTGCTGACGACGCGCGGGCGCCATCCCCTTTGTCCTCATCCTCTTCGAGCGCGCAGGTCTGGGATTCAAAATGAGGTTCCAAATGGCTGGCGGTCGGTGGGGTGGAAATCAGTGGATGTGTTCTTTGGGGGCCGAGTGTGACGACGCGAGATGTCCAGAAGTTGCGTCTTCTCTGCTTGGCTCACGGGAGGCTCTAGGCCAGGACCTGAACGGACGCTGCGTAAACGCATTGCCGTCAACTTGCAAATGCAATGTGTGAGCCAAGAGAGCACGTGATCGCACCTACACTGCTTCCGTACGGGATTGACAGTGGTGGCACTGTGCGAGACGTTTTCGGCACATGACTACCCTTTCACGGTATCCTGCACAGGTGCCATCGACACCTTGCCCGACGGTGCAGCCATTGGTGCCGACGCGGCTGGCTGTGGCAGGCAGTTCTTTTTGGGGTGGGCGGGTGGCTTCGCCATGAGCCAACAAGATCATTACACCTGATATGGTTTGTTCCCCACCTAGGCTCTGCCTAGAAGGGTTCTTACTTTATATGCTTAAAGGGCCGGGCAGTGTTCCTCGCCCCGGGCGGTTCCCCCGGCATCCGCCCCGCGGTTCCCCCAGTGACGTTCCCTTAGCTTAGCGTTGCTTATTTCATCTTAGCTTAGCTTATGCCATCTTAGCTTAGCTTAGCTTCATATTAGCTCAGGTTTATCTTAGCTTAGCTTACCTTCATCTTAGCTTCGCCGAGCCCTAGCATAGCAGAGCAGAGCATAACATAACAGAGCGTAGCACAGCACAGCGCAGCACAGCATATCATAGCAAAGCCCAGCATAGCACAGCTTAGCGCAGCATGGCATAGCATAGCATAGCATAGCATAGCATAGCGCAGCACATCACAGCACAGCATAGCACCGCGCAGCATAGCATAGCATAGCATAGCATAGCATAGCAGAGCAGAGCATAGCATACCACAGCAGCAAAGCACAGGCAACGCAACAGCAGCGACAGCTAAACAAAACACCTGGCCCTCCTGGTCCTCCTGCCCCGGATCTGTGGGTGTATTTTGTGGCGCTAGTGTGTGCCAACCGCGTTGCCAGTATAGTTCTCTGTTCGGGTAATTAGCATGGGTGTAATTCCCTACCTAGGCTCTGCCTAGAGGGTTAGCTTAGCTTAGCATAGCGCAGCGCTGCATTAGCATAGCACAGCACAGCATAACATAGCCACGCATAGCACATAATAACATAGCATAGCGCAGCATAGTATAGCATAGCATAGCATAGCATGGCATAGCATAGCATAGCAGTGCATAGCGCAGCTTAGCATAACATAGCATAGCTTAGCACAGCACAACGCAGCATGACATAGCTTAGCTTAGCACAGCATAGCATACCATGGCATATCGCAGCATAGCATAACATAGCATAGCATAGCATATCTTAGCATAACACAGCGCAGTGTGACATAACATGGCTTATCATAGTATAGCAAGCCATAGCATAGCGCAACATCGCAAACCATAAATAGCATAACATAGCGCAGCATAGCATGGCATAACATAGCATAGCATAGCATAGCAACTAATGTTGCGTTCCTAGGGGCTCCAACTTCTAGGTAGGATCGCACTGGGGTAATGGTTGTTAGGTTTTCGGGACCCGTCCTGGGTCCCAGGACTATCAAGACGGCTCAAACTAAGAAGCAATTATCTTGAGGACAGCTCAAGGGTTCAGGACAAGTTGCCTTCAGGGCCCCTTCGGGCCCAAGTCCTTTGGATGCGCCCCGTGGCTTCTGTCCAGCGTCTTCTTTCAAATCCGCTGCCGATCCCAGTCCTGAGCGGCATGACGGTGATCTCACGCTCGCGCCTGCATGGATGATTGTCCTTTTCCTCCCTCTCCCATCCCTCGCCTCCTCCTCCTCCTCCCTCCCCTTCCTCCTCTTCCACCTTGATCTCCGCTTGATCCCCCCCCCCAATCACCCCACCACCCCGACATTGGGGATGCTCCTCTTCCTGCGCCTCCCCTCCCTGAAAAGGAGCCGACTACTGGCCCCCCATCTTCAGAGACGCCCCACCCCCCGCACCTTGGAGCTGAGTGTGGTCAATCTGCGTGCTTCTGGGAAGCATAGTTCGGATTGCAAGGTTACTGTGCTCGACAGCACTCCCTCTGGGACGGGCGGCAGAGTCCGAGACAGGCGCCTCCTCACTCCCTTACGGCCCGCGTGGGCCTTGTTGATCTACCGATCTCGATGTTCTTTGCCTGGCCATCACGATTCCGATTGATAGTTTGCCTTGTCCAGGCCCGTCGTGGAGCCGAAACTTCGCGGTCTTCGCTCAGACTCGAGCCGTCGGCGAGCTGTCAAAGAAGGCGCTCCCAGGCGCCACGCTGGTGGACCAGCCCTCGCCCATCTCGGTTGCGACCACAAGGACGGCTAGGCTCATCTCAAACGTGCATCGGCCATCGCAATTTGTTGCTAGAACATTGGGGAAGATCAGTAGCTAGGCCGTTGGCAGTCAGATGCTCATATGCATCCCCGTGGCGTGTGCACTGCAAGGTTCTCAATTAGCCAACCACCAGAATTGAAACACGGCGCTGGTCAATTGGAGGGCGAACCCAGCAGGACTGCCGCTCTCGCTCCAGATGAGCTTGGCAGGACACTCGCAGAATGCATCACACAACACCACCACTATGCCTGGTCAGGGACATCATGGTGTATACATGAGAAAACCTCCGTGGTCTCGGCCAGGAGGGCGTCTACACCATGCAGACGGCCCTGGATGGCCCTGGCCAGGCATCGTGCTGGTGCAACGACGCCTCTTGCGCAGGACGACCGCCCTCGCGCCAGGCCAGGCCGGTGACCCGGCCGCCTTCGCGGCCGAGGCCCCCCGGAGGGAGGAGCAGCCCAGGCCTGCCGCCGCTCCGACGGCCGAGCTGAGAAGCGCCTCTCCTGCGGCGGGGCTGCCAGCTGCCCCTTGGGGGGCGGCGGGCGCCCGGCCGGCTGCGGCAGCCACCTCCGACGTGACCCTGGCGGCCGCGGCGGCACAGCCCTCGGAGGCCGAGTCGCCGCTGGCGGCTCCCACGCGGCCGTCTCCTGTCCCCCTGGATGGCCCCCCGACCCAGCTGGCGCCCGTCCGCCAGCCGGAGGCAGCGGCGGCCCCTCCGACGGCGGCCCAGCCGGCGGCCCTTCCGACGGAGGCCCAGCCGGTGCCCCTCCGCCAGCCGGAGACCGCCGCGGCCCTTCCGACGGCGGCCCAGCCGGTGCCCCTCCGCCAGCCGGATACAACGGCGGCCCTTCCGACGGCGGCCCAGCCGGCGCCGGAAGAGGCGGCATCCCAGCCTGCCACGACGGCGCAGCCAGCGCCGACCCAGCAGCCCGTTGCTGTGTCCATCCCACCAGCGCCCGTGGCGACCGCGGCGGAAGCTCCGCCGGCGGAGGTCGAGCAGGCACCCGCTCGGTCAGAAGCACAGGCGCTCACAGCAGCAGCGCCGTGGGCAGTCCCCTCGGCCGCGGCGGGGGGACCAGAACCACAGCGGGCCGGCTCTCCCCCTGCTGTGCCCTCCCGATCATCGTGCACGCTGGAGACGGCCCCCCCTGCTGCGGCCCAGGTCGCTCTCGAGGAGGCGCACCACTGGTCCAATCTGTCCTCACTTTCACCGTTCCTGTCTATGACGCTTTGCCACGCGTCACCGCTTTTCATTTCTGATTGGAGACCAAAGTCGCCCTGGAGAGCTTTAGGGGCCTCCAGTAGCTTCCAGTTGGTCTGCATCAGAAACTCCCAGAAGCTCTAGGTTCCAGAGGGGCCTCAAGAAAGCCTCGCGAGAGAGCCTGCAGGGATTTGTTCGCCTGTGGGGAATTGCCACGGCGTCCCCAGACCAGGCAACCGGTTTGTTTCCAGTGAAGAAAGCACCGCCCTTTTGTTGCTGTGCATTGTCTTGAAAATCTTCGGCACGGCGACTGCGCCCGCGGTTCATTGCGCATGGCCACGCGCGCGAAGCATCTGGCATCATCCGGTCAAGAGAGAAACGTCAGACCCCGATGGGGTCGCGTGGCGGCACCAGGGCCGGGTGCGTGCGGCCGCCGTGCCCCGCCAAAAGTGGGTGCATTTGTTGGGCTTCCTTCATTTGGTAATGTGCAGCACTGGGCCTCTTTAGGGAGACTTCTTGGCCGCTTTTTGATTCACTGGGGCAGGTTCAATGCACTCTTTACGACAGTGTCATGCATTGCAACTGTTGGTCGCCCGCGGGTTTCGCGCATCTAAATGTCTGAGCGGCAGGCTGCCACGCACGATGTCCGCAGCGCAAGTCGGTGGCCACGTTTGGTGTTGCGCCCCAAGCATGGGAGAACCGCCTTCATGTATGTAGCGATCAGATCGAGCAACGTACCAAATGTGAGAAGGGCGTTCGCCTCCAATTGCCTCGTTCGGGAAAAGCGCGTGCCCCCCCCGTTTGCGCTCCCCCCCGAACCTCATGAACACTACGCTCACCTGATTCGTGTCGTGCGTGACGTGCGCGCAGCGAGTGAGGCGAGGCGAAGTTGCCCGAGTTCTTGGCTTAATTTGGGCCAGGTCAACAGAAGAAAGGGTCGCCCCTTGTCGGGCCGTGACTCCTGATACCCCCCTGGTTGTCCAGATGGTTGTCCCGATGGGTGACCCGACGGCTGTCCCAATGGCGGTCTTGATGTTTGTCCAGATGTTTGTCCCGATGTTTGCTTCGGTGCTTGTCCCGATGGTTGTCTACATCGTTGTCGCACTGTTTTCCCCGATGGTTGTCCCGATGACCGTGGCCCGATGGTTGTCCCGATGGTTGTCCTTGTGGTTGTCTCGATGGTTGTCCCTATAGTGGTCGCAATGTTTTCCCCGATGTTTGTTCCGATGGCCGTGGCCCGATGGTTGTCCCGACGGTTGCCCCGATGGCTGTCCCGATGGTTGTCCCGATGGTTGTCTTGGTGATTGTCCCGATGGTTGTCCCGACGGTTGTCCCGATGGTTGTCCCGATGACCGTGGCCCGATGGTTGTTCCGATGGTTGTCACGATGGTTGTCTTGGTGGTTGTCCCGATGGCTGTCCCGATGGTTGTCCAGACGATTGTCCCGACGGTTGTCCCGATGGCCGTGGCCTGACGGTTGCCTCGGCGGTTGTCCCGATGCTTGTCCCGATGCTTGTCCCGATGCTTGTCCCCCAGGTTGTCCCGATGGTTGTACGGCTGGTTGTCCCGATGGTTGTCCCGATGGCCATGGCCTGACGGTTGTCCCGACGGTTGTCTCAACGGCTGCCCCGATGGCTGTCCCGATGCGTGTCCCAATGGTTGTCCCGATGGTTGTCTCGATGGTTGTCGCGATGGTTGTCTTTATAGTTGTCGCAATATTTTTTCCGATGGTTGTCCCGATGGCCGTGGCCAAACAGTTGTCCCGACGGTTATCCTGATGGTTGTCCCGATGGTTGTCCCAGTGGTTGTCCCGGTGGTTGTCCCGGTGGTTGTCCCGATGGTTATTCCGATGGTCTTCCTGATGGCCGTGGCTCGACTGTTGCCTTGATGGTTGTCCTGGTTGATGTCCCGATGACTATTGTCCCGATTGTTGTTCTGATGGTCGTCCCGATGGTTTTCCCGACGGTTGTCCCGACGTTTTGTTCTGACCATCGCCCCGACCGTTATCCCGATTGTTATTTCGCTGGTTGTCGGGTGCTTGTCCTGATGGTTATCCCGATGATTGCCCCGATGGTTAAGTTACCCCGATGGTTTTCGGGATGGTTGCCCCGATGGGACAGACACGGAACAACCACGGGACAACAATTCGGATAATTTTCGGGAAAACCATGTGAACACAACCATCCAGACAAATATGGGACAACCGCGGGACAACCACGGGACAGCCGCAGGACAACCTTGGGCCAGCGGCCGGCAACAGGGGGGGAGCGGAGACTCGTGCTCTGGCTTGGCCCCAGCGACGGCGGGATACTTCCCCTCGCCCTTGCACGCAGCCTCGCCTCGCCCGAACGCGCGACACGTTCACGAAAACGACACCGATTTCCCAGTGGGGGAGGTCTCAATTCCATTATTATTCCACCGCCAACCTACGATGGAGATACAGAGACAGCTTTACATACGCATCTGTATATATATGTATATTGTTAGCCAGCGTGGGCCCCAAACAGTGAGTTTGTGCATTGAGGTGGTCAAACCTATGCAGATCTAGCTATGGGGTACAAGCTATGTTGTGTAAGATGTTGTGTGTGATACGTGGTACGAGCCACGTGGTGTAAGCCATGTGACGTGATCTAAGTTCTGTAATATAGTCGGCATGACCTTCATGCTGTGAATTGTTCGTGTAAGCTATGCAGTGCGAGCTGTGCCATGTGAGCTATGCTGCCCATCCATGGCACGGGGTGCCCACGGGCGGGCTCCAAGCGAGGCCTCGGCGAACCCACCCAGGGCACGCGGCGTCCACGAGCGCCTACGAGATACCCAGGAGCGGGCTCAAGGCGAATCCTCTGCGGACCCATCCAGGGCACGGAGCACCAGAGACTACGCGCAAGGCTCAAACCATGACGCGCAAGGTAACAATACATGTTCCGCAGGCCAAGACCATATGTCTTCCCTGTGGAACGCGTGCGGGAGCAGGGGAGCGGGGGAGCAGAGCCCGCGCCGCGCGCGCTCCAGCAGGCCCCGAAGGGCCGACGCGCAAGGCAAACGAAAATTAGCCTGGCGAGGGGCCCAACCAAATGAATTTGTGAGCAACGCAGATGTGAGCGTCGTTTTCGGCCGAGCTACCCATGGGGCCACGAGGCGTGTGAGATGTGTGCCGAAAAATGTGTCGTGCGGACGCATGCGGCCCCTGCCGCTGGGGCCTTCGGTGGAGCTCCCCATGTGGCTACGAAACGTGCGAGGGGTGTACCGACATGGGTGGTGCAGTCGCGTGTGGGCCTTGCCACTGGCTATTTGCACCGCCATCGCACCGCTACTAGGGTTCATGGAGGATAGGCGCACGGGGGCGTATCCTCCTTTGCTGCCCGACGTCTATTGCCAATTTGGCTCAGGCGCTCGGCCGATCCTGAATAACCCACCCACCACCCTGGAGCGTTAAGTCCCTGGGAGTGGCATGGGCCCTGAGCCAGGGCCCTCGGAACCGGCACCAGCAAAAGAAGAATCACCGTCATCTCCGTCCGCCGTTTTGCCGCCATCGCACCGCTAGTTGAGTTCGTCAAGCATACGCAAACAAACCAACACAAACACACACACACATACACATATATATATATATATGCACACATACATGCATACATGCACGTGCATATACATATATACATATGTTCAGACTCGTTCGAAGCACCGTTACATGTATTTACATGTATGTATGTATGTATATATATGTAGAAATATGTGTGTTCGCAGCTATGTGTATCCGTATCGAGCTTTATAGATAATGCGTGGCTGTGCTCATATATAGAGAGATATGTGTGTACCCATTCTCATCGATAAACCACCAGGATAGCCATACTGACAACACGCATGACAACAATGCAGTATAAGCATAGATGAGTGAACGTATATGAACAGATACGTGTATATACCTACGTGCGAACTTGTACATGCATTTGTCGGAGGTTGGGGGGGAGATCGCAGTGTAACGGAGTTCCCCCACCGGGAAATCGAGTTTCGAGTTCGTGCTCGTGCCGTGCGTGCGGGCGAGGCGAAGCTGCGTGGGCCAGCGAGAGGAATTCACTCTGCTGTCGCTAGGGGTCCGCCAACACAAATGTTTCCCCCCCCGGCCTTGTCAAGCGGTAGCCCACGTTGTCCCGTCGGTTGCCCGCCGGTTGCTCATCATGGTTGCTCATCATGGTTGCTCATCATGGTTGCTCATCATGGTTGCTCATCATTGTCCCGCCGGTTGCTCATCATGGTTGCCTATTATTGTCCCGCCGGTTGCTCATCATGGTTGCTCATCATGGTTGCTCATCGCCCATCAGCACCACGTTCATCACAGTTGTCGTCATGAGCCACCCCCCTCCCCCCACCCCCCACAACCTCATTATCACCCGCAGGGTGGTCGTATAGGTATAAGTGTGTGTATGTGTTTTTATTGTGTACTTGCCACCGTCTCCATCGAACAACAATCGAGGCAATCATCGGGACAACCAATACGAACCATCGAAACAGCTTTCGGGACAACCGTTGGGACACCCATCGGGACAACCATTGGGACAACTACCGGGGCAACTGGCGACACAACCTTGGGCAAGTGGTAGCCACGGCCTGGACACCATAAGACCTGTTTGGTTTTGACTTCGCCCAAACTAGACCAGGAACTCGCGCAGTTTCGCCTCGCCCGCATGCGCGCTAGCATGACACGAACGAACCGAAACTGTTTCCCACTTGGGGCACCTCACGCTTCTTCCCGTTGGTCCCATCCCCCGCAACCTTCGATACAGTATTGTAAAGGCCTTACGGCCGGTGCCGCCGACCCTGAAGTCGGGACCCCGCCTGGGACCTTGGGACCCCCAGGCCGGAGCCGTGGCCGGTCCAGGGCCAGGGCCAGACCCTGGGCTGGGGTCACGGCCGCGGCCTTGGCTAGGGCTGAGGCCAGGGCTGGGGCCGAGGTTATGGCACGGGCCGGGGCCAGGATCAGGGCCACTGGGCGAGCCCCCTCTCCAGTGGGGAGCCCCTTCCTGTCCCCCCTGTCCACAGGTGGGACCACCCCCCTGGAGGGACCCCCAGGGCGCGGAAATCTGACTCGGGGACCCCGCCTTACCCCTCCCCCACCCCCCCCTACCCCTACCCCTGGTCAGGAAAGAAAGAAAGGGAAGGGAGTATGTTTAACTACGACGTCTCTTTTCTTGTCGTTGTTAGTTTCTGAATTGTCTTGGAACTGGCGACGACGACGACGACGGCGTCTCACACACGCCGAAGGGTTGGCTGATTTATGTTTACCTACAAGTCGTGTATCGATAAGCAGAAGCGTGGCCATCACAAACCGAGGGTGGTGCCCATCCCCCAAAACATCTTTACCACCCGAAGGGTAGTCTTACAGGTATCGTCGTTTTTAACGTCCGATGCACTCGGTGTGCACCCGCTCCCCTTGAGATCCGCTTGAGCCTTATGACGACCGCACAGGCGCAAGACATGCACGTTTGGCCAGAGGCCGAGATCCTCTCTGAGAGCCCGCTGGACGAGGAGAGCCCCGCCGGGGCTTGCGGCGGCGGCGGGAGCACGACAGAGGCGGAGGACACGGAGGAGGGCGTGGATTCCGACGACGACGCAGCTGGCGCCAGGACTTCGGGATGCTTTTCGAGGGCGTTCCAAAAGGGCCTCGCCCTCTGGAGGCCGGCGGAACATCCACAGAGCCTGCCTTCTTTTCTCTCCATTCCTCCCCCCCTCCATCCTCACTTCTCGGTCCTTTCCTCGCACTCCTCCATTCCAGCCTCCTCACTTCCCTTCCTCCCTTCTCCCACCTGTCTCCTCGCTTCTTCCCTCCTTCATCATTCCTCCCTCTTTCCTGCCTCACTCCCTTCATCCCTCGCTTCCCTGCTCGTCGGCCTCGTCGGCGTGTCCTGTCACTTGTCTGACTACTTGCGGCTGTTAGTCAGCTTCTTCGCCAACATCTTCTGTTTCGCTTCCTGGAGCAGACGCGAGATGTTTCGACTCATCGCACGGCGTGAAGTTCATCTGTCACTGTTCAACGCTATTTGAGGATACTCTTGAGGTTCGGTAAGATCACATGTTCAGTCTCGTCGCACGTTGCTCTCAGCTCTCAGCTACAACCAAGGATACTCTGGAGGCTCGGCTGGTGCTTTCCGGGCTGGTCCTTTCCAGCTTGCAGCGCTCACTGAGGAAACTCTCGAGGCTCGGTAGTTCTGTGCGGGCTCTTTCTTCTCAATTTTCGTGTTCGCACCAGTTGTACTGTTGTGTCCTATATGTCGGCGTTCGCTTCTCTAATTACCCCGTGCTGGGTGGCGGAGTCCTCGGCGTTTGAGATTCGGCATCAATCTGCTGTGTGCGAGTCCATCGCGTCGGTGGTGTGCTGGCCCGAAGAGGGGACCAAACATATCACCGATGCACGAATGTCTTGGGTAGGTAAACTTGATGGAGTTGTTTGTTTTCTTTTTTGTTAAGCCTTTTTTGTGCAAGAGGCCTGGATGCTCGCGACCCCCAGCCAGGATTTCCTGGGTGTTTTCTCGAGGTTTCTCGTCTCTGCGTTTTCCGATCTTCGAGTTCGTTGGGTTCCCTGGGCTTGTGGGGACACTTGACTTGTTGCATGGCGCTGCGTTACATTGCGCTTGCTCTATTGTGTAATTCACATCGCACTGCTTGGATTTGCTATGGCGTGTTTTTTGTTGTACTGCGATGCGTGTCGTCGTCTTTGTTGGGAATCATTGCAATCCATTGCATGTTGATGCGATTGGAATGCGCTGCGCTGCTCTCACACGTAGTTGTGTGACGACAGCGTTGTCTATCTATCAGTCTTGCTGCCCAAATGTTCAAGGACGAGTAGCGCTGTTTCCCACCGGGTTCTCACGATATGTCAGTCGTTATGTCCGCAGGGCCGCACTTGCGAATGTTCTAGTAGAACATGAGTGTATGTTAGTGCGTGCACGGGAATGATGAGAAAGGTTTTTCGGGTGTCGTGTCCAGGCTTGGCCCCTCGCGTTGCTCATCGCAACCGCTCGGGCTCAAGCGTCAAAGGCACGGGTTCTCGCTCGATGGCCGTCACACCATCCCAGGCAGCACTCTTCACCTGGATTGCCGCGATAGCCCCCTCACTCTCGGACTGGGTGGCCGGCTTCGCTGCTGGGCGCTCCGCGCTGGCAGCCCCAGGCCGCGCGGCGGCCGTCGGCTGGGGTTCGGAGCCTCCGCTGTGGGACTGCTCCTGCTGGCACCTGCCCGTCGTCAGTGGCGCCCGAGCCGCCGGGCCTGCCCTCGCTGAGTCCCTCAGTGCGGCTCGCGCCCGACGGTGCCGCGGCGATCGAGGTCCTCTGGCCGTGCGTGGGAGGCCTCGCGTTCTCGGCCGGCCTCGCTCTCGCCGGGCGCTTGGGGTTCGGGGTCCTCGAGGAGCTCTTCGTGCTGTACTTGAGCCGCTGTGCTGCATGGCCCGACTCGACGCAGCCCCGTGCGATCCACAGCGGAGCGAGACTGGCAGTCGGGGACGCAGCTGCTCGTGTCGCTCGTCCTTGATCTCGGGTTCAGGCACGAGCGCGTCATCATGCGGGCATGTGACGTTTGTCCCTGGATCGTGTACACGGACGGCGGCGACATGTAGGTGGAGAAAGGAGAAGGACGGGGACAAGGTGTACCCTCTGACGACGGGTCAGTCGTCGAGGTCTCTGCCGAACTACGTGGCGGAGGTTGTGCCGCTCGCAATGTTCCTGACGGACGACGTACTGCACGGGCTGATCGTGAGGGCCCGCATCGAGGTGGCGTCCTTGCGGGAGTCTGAGCCCGATCGCCACACGCCAGCAGGCCCGTCATACTGCCTGTCGGTGGAGGGCCGCCAGCGCCCGCCCCGTCGCCGCCGCCCCCAGGGCGAGCAGGTGAGGCTCGCCGGCAAGGAAAGCAACCCACCTGTCGCCGACGCGGGCACTGGAACCGCCGAGTCACCTGGCGGCGCCGGGTACGCGGGCGGCAGCATGCTGGCCGCCGACGGCGAGCGTCATCGCTGGCTGGCCAGCAAGCCTGGTCGGATCGGGGAGTTGGGAATCCCTGTGCTGCACGCATACGTCATGATCGGGCTGGGTGACCGCAGCGTCGCCGACATCGACGGCGAGACGGTGCCGATGCGGAGCGCGTCTGAGACCAACGTGGCCGACTACGCGACCATGAAGACCTCGGCCTACGAGGTGGCGGTTCGCTACGTCGGCGGCGCGCCCATCTACTTCGGGCGGCGTGTCGGGATCGTGCCGAGCCGCGCGCTTTCCCACGGCGATGGAGCCGAGCCGACCGCCCCTGCAGATGCTGCCGAGCCGAGCGATGTTCGCACTCTGTGGGTGGACACTGACGCCATGAACGACCCGCTCAAGTCTTGGCGTAATGAGGTCATGGAGAGCTACCCCACGGTGTGGACTGACAGCCCTGTGGAGGCGCGGGTCTGCCCGATGTTTATCCCCAGCCACTCTGATCGGCATGGCGACATCGTCAGGAGGTGCCTTGACCTCTGGTCTCGCTCGAAGATTCTCTGGCCGCACGAGCAGGTCATACACGAGCTCTCCGTCCTCTACGAGGTCATCTACGAGGGGGGCTCCTACGACCAGCTCAACAAGCCATCGCTGTTCATCTTCGAGTGCATAGCGCGCCGCTTCCAGAGTAATGTGGACGTGTACTCGGGTGACTCCTCTTGGCCGCAGTGGGCCAGCGCAGGGCCCTACTCCAGCGTGGGTTTTGCGGTGGTCATGGTCGCGCCCGAGCTGGAGCACTACGTGGCCATGACGGCCGTGGGCGAGGCCGAGGTCGAGTCCATGCGGGTGCAGGCCCGCATCCTTTTGATCTCTGCCGACGCCGCCGCTGCTGGCGGTCCCCCTGCCGCTGGGCGCAGTGCACCTGTCGCCGCCGTGGCGGGCCAGCCCTCCAAAGGATCGGGCCGTGGAGCCCCGAAGGGAGGCGAAGGCGCCGCTGCCGCGGCGGAGACTCAATGAGTGATGTGACCCTCGGCGGTGGGACTGGCCCAACCTCCGCCGTGCGCCTTCCTGGGCTTGCACGCGGATCCGCGGAGATCTTCCCGTTGCCCGACGACCCCAGCCTCGTCGCGGATTTCTGGATCCACCTTCAGGGGCGTGCCCAGCGCCGGTTCGTGAGGGATTGGCGGGAGTGTGTGCGCTCATTAAATTGGTTGTGGGGTGCTGGTCATCGTGAGGTCGCCCGACGTGCTCGCGGCGACGTCCATCCATACCGTTTTCAACTTCAACGTGAGGTGCTGGTGCGAGTCGCCCAGGGGGTCCAGACGCATCTGGACCCACCCTCCGACCTTTCTCCGAAGGAGGCCTTTCAGGGGCTACTTCGAGGCCGCGGGGTCTACGACACCGAGACGGCCTACACTACCCTGGCACCCTACCAACGGGGCGCGGTTTCTCTTCCTTGTGACGTCTCGACGGTCCCGGCCGTGGGAACCTTGGTCACGGGGCGCGCCCTCGAGTATCTGGTAGAGGCAGAGGAGCAGATGATCAGGACCGATGTTGAGGTCCAGCTTGACCGTGAGACGAATGGCGAGATCAAGATCTACACCGACCCCCTGCTCGCCAATAGTCGCCGCCGGTACTCCACCTACGTGAAGGATCTGAAGCGGAAAGGCTTGGTGGGCTTCACCCGCGATCCCAAGGAGTTCGCGGGTGTTTTCTTCGTCTGGAAGAAGGAGCGCGCCTCCATGAGGATGGTGCTCGACTGTCGCCGCTCCAATCAACGTTTCGTGACCCCTCCTGGGGTCGAGCTGCTGTCGACCGAAGGGCTTGGTCGGATCGAGTGCGACACGGAGCAGACCGGCACGTTGCCCATCTTCCTGGGCAAAGCTGACGTGAAGGATTGCTTCCACCGCATGATGTTCGGCAACCACCTCTCCAAGTACTTCTGCTACCCGGGCGGCCTGGCCAAGGAGTTTGGCATCGTCGGGCAGCTGGTGGAGGGGGTGCCCGCTCGCGCTGACGACTACCTCTGGCCGTGCGCCCTCGCGTTGCCCATGGGCTGGACGTGGTCGCTCTATTTCGCTCAGGTGGCCAACCTCGGCCTGGTGGAACGGGTCCCCGCGGTGGCGTCGAGTTGCGCGGCCACCGATCGAGGGCCCCCCATCGTGCTGTCTCCGACCTCCTCCTGGCACTACGTATACGTCGACAACGTTGGGCTCATGTCGCTCGATGCCTCCTACGTCAAGGGGGCTCTGGCGGACACCATCGCGGCCTTCGACGCCGCGGGCCTCGTCATGCATGACATCTCGGTGGACTCCGACACTGCCGAAGCGCTGGGAGTGACGCTCGATGGCCAGAAACACCAGACCCTCGTCAACCACCGGCGCTACTGGAAGGTGAGACTCGGCCTCCGGTGGGCCCTCTCCTTGCGGCGCCTGGCAGGGCGAGAGCTCGAAGTATTGCTTGGCCACTGTACATTCGTTGGTTTGATGTGCCGGGAGACCCTGTCCGTGCGGCACACCGTCTACACCTTCATCCGTGAGCGGTACTGGGCCAAGAGCGACATGTGGGAGTGGGAGTCCGCACGTCAGGAGCTCGAGTGCTTCCTCGGGCTGATGCCGCTCCTTCGGTCTGAGTGGGATCGGCCGTGGCTCACGCAGGTACTGTCCGTGGACGCCAGCCCGTACGGCTGAGGGATAGCCAGCTCCGAGTTCGGAGTGTCGATGGTGAAAAAGCAGGGCAGGATTCTTGAGCGATCTCGTTTCCGTCGGCTCGGAGGGTTGCCCGCTCGGGCCAGTGCCCTCGCCGCCGCGGGGTTCGTCTACTCACCCACCACCGATCGCTGGCAGGTCGACGATGAGAAAGAGCGTGACCCTTCGGACGTTCGGGAAGCTGGAGCTTGGGAGGTGCGCGAGGATTTCCCTGAGATTCCTGGGGCCCTCCTCCACGGGGATCGGTGGCGCTTGATTTTGCATGGCAAGTGGGCCTACTCCGAGGATATCCTGATTCTCGAGGCCCGCGTCCTGGTCAAAGCTGTCGCAAGAGTTTGTAATTGCGTTCCAGGTGGATTCTGCAGAGTATTGTTATTGGGAGATAATATGTCAGTTATATTAGCTTGTGAAAGATTTCGGGCCCGCAGCTTCGGGCTCTTGGTGCAGATCAGACGAATCGCGGCCTACGCTTTGGGCCGAGGGGTTCGATTTGGGTTCAGGTGGCATCCCTCAGAGCTCAACAGTAGCGACGCTGGGTCCCGTATCTACGACCCCAACTACGACTCCACGAAGGATCTCACTCGCCTGGTGGCTGACGGACACGGACCCGGAGACGTCCTGCCTCAGCCTGCGGATCCACCTCGGTCCGTCGACGTGCCGGCTCAAGTTCCCGAATCGCTCGAGAACCCAGATTCTTTTGCCTGCACCGTATTCCACGACTGCCATGATGCGGACCCGCAGCCTGGAGGCGCCGAGCCAAACCATCGCTGGCCAGAGGAGCTGGCCCACGACGGTCGGAGCGCGTCCGACGGCGACTTCCTGTCCGCCTTCAGCGACCACGGGGCTAACGACGACGCCTACTTGGCTGAGACCGGAGACACGCTCGATGCTGGATACTGGGAAGGTACCCCTAACCAGAGGGTCCCTGGTGACTCTGGCAGCCAAAAGGCCCGCCTGGGCTACAGCAGCAGTCACGGCCGCTGCCACCGCCGCGGCCGCCGACGTGGACAGCGATGGCACTACTACGGCCGACGAGATGGAGAGGAGTCTCGGCGGCAAGACGCCCGCTCCCCTGCTGGTTCGGTGTGCCATCGCGGTGGAGTTCGCGAGGCGGGGCGAGCTTGTCATGGGTGTCGCCGTGATGAACGGAGTCAGCTGCTACCTCAGGCCAGAGCTCCTCAACCTTACCTCGGCCAACCTGGTGGCCCCGGGATCGCTGGTGTCGCAGTGCTGGGGCCTCCTTTTGCATCCTTCAGAGAGGGAAAAGAGGAGCCAGGCCGGCGATGCGGACGATTCGCTGATCATCGTCTCGGCCCACATGCTGCCGTGGGGTCACGATTTCCTCCAGGCTTTGAAGGAGAAGGGCGGCCGGCTGTGGTCCTTCGATTGTCTCACCTTCTGGGCGAAGGTGAAGACTGTCGCCAAGATGTTGGGCTTGTTGCACCTTGTACCGTGCCTGATGAGACACTCGTGGACGTGGATAGATCGCCTCAAGCCAGATCGCAGCCAGGAGGAGAGTCAGAGGCTCGGAAGGTGGAAGCGCTGGAAGAGTCTCATACGCTACCAGAGCGCCCGCCTCGGAAGCTTCTGGAACGAGCTCGCTGCCGAGATGCCAGCACACGTGTTTTTGTGCAAGGACCAGTTCGTCGAGTTCCTCTGGTCGCCCAAGCTTGCTCCAAGGCCACCGCCCGTCCGCGGCTAGATAAGGACGGCACCTACATGGCCGACCTGTTCTCTGGCTCAGGCAAGGTTGCTCGGGCGGTCACGCGGCTGGGTTTCTCAGCTAAGGCCTGGGACATCATCCACGGGCCCAACCATGACCTCACAGACCCGGCGGTGCTCCGCCTACTGCTTTCGGACATCCGTGACGGCAAGATCTTCGCCGCCATGATCGCTCTCCCCTGCGCCTCGCTGACCATTGCTCGAGACAGGACTTTTCAGATACGCTCACGCACTCAACCATGGGGGACTGACCTGACTGATGCCACAGATCGGGACCGAGCCTCACTCGAGACTGGTAACAAGATAATTCGGGCCGTGATTCGCATTCGCAGACACCTCAATCGCCACAAAATTCCGTGGATACTTGAAAATCCGTCTACTTCCCGCCTGTGGTTCATCCCAGAGATATTGGCTCTGTGCAGCCGGGCGCATGCTGAATGGCGACTTACAGATTTCTGTCAGTGGGGTACGCCGTGGCGAAAGAGGACATGGCTGGTTTGTGGCAATATGTATCCTGAGGACAGTTGCTCACTGGACAGAGCGTGCACTGGAAAAGCAGGTAGGTGCTCTCGCACTTTCCGCCGTCACATCGAGCTGAGTGGCCGCAATGATCAGAATGTTTTGTGGACCTCAATTGCTCAGCCCTACCCCTCTCGCCTTGCCACTGCTCTGGCTAAATCTCTTGCCGCTAAGAAGCACGCTTCCTGCTCGTACAACTCGGGCGGCCCCGCTCGTACCAAGGCCCAATGAGGCTCATGCTTTGCTTGTTTTTGTTTTTCCCCTCCTCTCTTCCCCTCCTTCGCCCCCGTGAACCCTTTTCTATTCGGGATGTTTGGAATGCCTTGGACGTGTGATTCTAACGATCTCACGTCGTCCCAGCTGTGTGTTATAACCCTGTCAGATAGTAGCAGACGTTCCCCGCTGGAAAAATACGGTCTCATTATGTTAGTGCGTGCACGGGAATGATGAGAAAGGTTCTTCGGGTGTCGTGTCCAGGCTTGGCCCCTCGCGTTGCTCATCGCAGCCGCTCGGGCTCAAGCGTCAAAGGCACCCACCCTTTCGAACAATGTTCTCCCATCCCATACTTCCATTATACTTTGCAGAATGCCTTGGACGTGTGATTCTAACGATCTCACGTCGTCCCAGCTGTGTGTTATAACCCTGTCAGATAGTAGCAGACGTTCTCCGCTGGAAACAGACGGTCTCATTATGTTGTTTCGTCCCCGAGCGTCCATGCACGGCTACACCTTGAGTTTTGTGCAGTTCCGGCCATAGGCCATGAGGCCCTTAACACAGTCTCTGCGGCTGCTCCACGGACAGGGTTAGCATTTCGATTTGTTTCTAGGGCTTCTCCCGGTGCAACGGGCCACGCAGGCCTCTTCCCCGCAGTACGATACCTCAGCATGAGTTTTGTTCCTTCCCTCTGTTTTTCCAGCAGGGCCGTGCTTTCCTTTCCGCAGCGTCCTCCTGGGCGAGGCCACGGCCCCCCAAAAGTAAGATGCCGCCCTGACCAGGAACCGCTGCATTTCACTTGCAGGTTACTCCTGTCAGGAAAACAGGGCGCCTCCGATGCTGTGTTGTTGCAGGTCCTACGGAGGCACCCCCGAGAGCCCACTTGGGCAGGGTCCAAAGAGGCCAACGCCCATCCCGCCTCCCAGAAGCACTCCAGCTGCCCAGCAGCTCTCGGCCATTTTGGCCCATCCGTCCCCGTCACCATGCCTTCTCTCTACCCTCTCATCAGGGAGTCAAGCCGGTAATCCCCTGCTGACTTTCTGTTGTTACCCATGTTGCCTACATCTGCCCGGCCTCCCTATGCGGAGTTCTAGAGCCATTTGCAGATATTTGGTATAGGCAATCTCCCCACCCCTCCCTCCATGAGCATCCCTCCTCCTCCTATTCGCCCGGCAGGTCGGTGCTGGATATTCCCAGATCCCATCAAGATGACCTTCTTCTGTGCCTCGGAACTGCCTTAGTCCAGCCGGAGGCTTGCCTGCGCCGACTTATGCGGACCGTCGAGACATGCAGTCGCGGATGCCTTGTTCGAAACAACGAACTTGTCTCCTCGTCTCTCTCCTTCCTGCCTCGTTCCTCCCTCTTCCCTGATTCTCATACTCCCCTGGTGCAAGATGCCTGGCCGCTCGTGACCCCCAGCCAGGGTTCTCCGATGTTGTTCTCCCGGCCCTCCAGGGCTGGCAGATTTTCAGAGCTTAAGGGGCTTGAGGACACTCGCCTCAATGCCTCAATGCCCACCATTGCGCATATAAGTAGATGGTGATTGGGGATATGCATGCGTACATGTACATATGTACACATATGCATGCGTACATCCATGCATTTATACACATAGATGATCATAGATGTGTGGATAGCTAGGGAGAGGGGGGAGAGAGAGAGAGAGAGAGAGAACGAGAGAGAGAGAGAGACAATAAGGAACCATCTATATATATATATATATATATATATATATTGTAGTGGCCTCCGGCCAGTGCCGCCGATCCAGGGCGCTCTTAATCCTCGTACTCCTCCTCGTCTTGCTTCTCCTTCTCCTCCCCCATCCTCTTCCTCCTCCTTCCCTTCCTCTTCGTGCCCTTCCCGCTGCTCCTTTCCCTCGTCGTTGGTCTCCTATTCCTTTCTCATTTCCCTTTCTTCCTTGTCGCTTTTTGGGGTCACTTTGAGCCTCCAAGGGGCCCCCAGCGAAAGCGCCCCAGGAGAGCTCCAAGAGGGGCCACATCAGGCCCAAGAGGGCTCCAAGAGGGCGTCATGAGCGGCTTTGGCCCCAAGAGAACTCCCAGAGTCTCCTGAGAGAGCAGAGGTTCGCGCTGTCGAAACCGACGTTTTGACAGCGCGAACCCCAGGAGAGCCCCAGGAGAGCTCCAAGAGGTACCCCATCGGGCCCAAGGGGGCTCCAAGAGGGCGGCAAGGGGGGCTTCAGATCGCCCCAAGAGAGCTCCCAGAGTCTCCCGAGAGAGCAGAGACTCGCGCTGTCAAAACCGACGTTTTGACAGCGCGAACCCCCTGGCGGCAGGAGACCCAGGAGGGCTCCAGGAGACCCCCAGAAGAGCTCCAAGAAGACCCCATCCGGCCTAAGAGGGTTCCAACATGGCGCCAAGGGGGGCGTCAGATCGCCACTACCCCCCCTCGCCAGAGCGAAGCTTGAGCGAGCTCAAGCCCACGCTCTCAGGAACTCACACGCCGGATCGGCGGATATAGAGATACGGGGGTAGAAATAACGAGAGATGTTCACACATACACAGTGAGAG